ACCTGTGTGCAGATGCCCGGCAAGGCCGTGCCACCTGTGTGCATATGCCCGGCAAGGCCGTGCCACCTGTGTGCAGATGCCCGGCAAGGCCGTGCCACCTGTGTGCAGATGTCTGGCTTCACAGTGGTTTCTCCTGAGTGTTCAGTGGTGCCTGGGGGAGACCTGGCTTCACTGCCTATGTGGGGAAGACAGGGACCTGTGCATTGGGCAGGGTTGCAGTGCACCTGTGGTTTTTAAATACATACCAATTTCATCGGGACCCTAAATCATGGGTTTCTTTCTCTCCTTGGGGGGTGCAGAGTGAATCAGCCCAACTGCCCCCTGCTGGGGCTATGCCTGTCCTCACTGAAATCTCTGTCCTTGTGTATGAGGCTGTTCAGGGCACGAGACTGGAGGGTTGCAGAGACCAGGCCCCTTTCTGAGGTCTCCTGTGCTCAGGCTGAGCTACGGGGCTGTACAGGTCAGGTTGGGCCAGATCGGAACCCTCCTTGAGTGTCTGCACAGAGGGTCTGTCCTCGCCCGGAGGCCTCCGCTCTGACCAGCAGTGAAAAGCAAAGAACCCTTGAACGACCAGAGCTGATCAATGTGGAGCACCAGCGATCAGGAAAAGGTCAGAGGAGCCTTGAGAGTGGCCCTTTCTCCCACAGAACAAATGCCACGAGAAAGGGCAGCGCAGCCTCACTTGGCTGGAGTCTCCACCAGGCAAGGGTCTGGGTTGACTGCGAGTGCCAGGCTGGGGCCGGAGCCACTGAGCCTCAAGGGTGCCCTGTGGGGTGGGGAAGAAACAGCTCAAGGATGGAGTCTTTTTCTCACAAGTGGGAAAGCAAGACAGCGTCTGCCATGCGTTGTGTGTGGAGGTGGGTGGGCCCCTTCCTGTGCTCCACTGCCTCCCCGCTAGGGATGCTGCTCAGAAGGCCTACAGACTGGCCTCAAGGGCTGAGAGGACATGCTAGCCTCAGCCCTGCGCTCCTGGGGACATCTGTGTCCTCTGATTGAGTGGGTCACCCCACAGGTGGTGTCTGATGGCCCAGGTCAGAGTAGAGGTGCTTAGTGCACAGTGGTGGACACCATGGTCAGTGAGGGCAGGTCTGGGGAAAGTGTGTCTATCACAGTGCAGAGCATCTCACAGGATGGAATGTTCTGGAAATGCAGACAGGTGCTGTGGCAGCACAGGTGTCTCAAGCCAGGTAGGTGTGGCGTTTCATGTGCGGAGGGCAGTTGACCTCCTCTGAGAATAAGGGCAGAAACTGATTTTCACATCTGTGGCATCCCAGACAGGCCTGTGGGTTCGTCGTGGGGATCCAAACCCTGGGCAGCCCCACAGTCCTCCCTTGGTTCTGGGCTGGCAGAGCATCCCCCTGTGCCCTTAGCACCTCACTCAGGGCCCGCTGTCACGCCTGCCAGCAAAACCCAACAGAAATTAGATAGATCCTTCCCCAAAACAATGCAAGAAGTGAGCACAGTAGATTAAGCACAGGGCTATCGGCATGCTGGGCAATGCAGTCCAGGCCCTCTGCAAAGGGGCCGGGGGGTGGGGGCAGCAGGGACTGACCCAGAGTCTGGCCAGCACCAGCCTGTGAGAGAGGCTCTTGTGTGTACCGCGCAGAGATCTGTCCTCAGAGCAGTTTCAGATGCAAATGAACATAAACCAGCTCGCAGAGCAGAGCTAAGCTGAAAAGATGGTTCTGTGATCAAGTTTGGCTCTGCTTAAGCCATAATTAAAACATACACAAATTAAACAGGATTACCGTGTGCCATCTAATAGGCCGTGCGTCACCACACTGATTAATGTTGCAGCCTCCAGCTCATCCCTGCCGCTGGCATTGTTGAGAGGGTATGTTTTATGCCTTGTGCGGTGGCAACTGGCAGCTGGGACACTCAGCTGGCCATGGTGACAGAGAGTGACGGCTGTGCCAGGCACGCCCGTCGCGGTGTGGCCCAGCTGCATGCCGCACCTGCCCTTCATCACCTCCCAGCAGTGATGGTGATGGATGTGTTTTTGAAGGCTGGTGGCCATTTTTAAAAATCGGTTGCCAACTACTGACAGGTACACCCAGGTGCCAGCTGGGCTGCTGAGGGTGGGGGGCTGTGACAGCACTGACATCTCAGAAGCCATCTTCAGGGAGAGGCTGATGAAGCAAAAAGGTACCACGAGAGCCAGAGGGGTCCCAGCCCTGACTCTGCTGGGCAGGATGGCAGTGCATGCCCCACATATTACCCCCACTGCTCCAGGGAGCCAGGGATCCTCTGCCCAGACTACAGACAGTCCTGATGTTCAGCTCCCTTCCCTCAGGTGCAACTGCGTCCTGAGCAAGGAGGTGACATCGCAAGAGTCTGGATGCCAGACTCTTCGCAAGCCCCTCTGCACACAGGTCCCTCAGGCCATTCTCACACTGGACGCAGGAGAGGCCAGGATCCACTGGAGCCCCTGGCCAGCGTACCAAATGGAGGCCAATGGGTCCACCTTGGCCTCAGCCTACCAGGTCCTTGGAAGCCCTGTATGGCTCGTGGCTTTGCCCATATGGTATCAGTGAGCTGTGCATATTGGGAGCCCACCTCGGCCTGGTGCTGTGGGCACTGTTTGTTACCAGGGGTCATCTACTCCAGCTCCCATGGAAGACGATTCTGCGATCTTCAACTTAATCTTACAGGTTCAAATGTGTACACAGCCATTTTGGGCAAATGTCAGTGGTTGTCAAGGTTTTCATCCCAAACTGGGACCTGGTGTGGAGACTGATGCTGTGTGGCCCAGGGGCACAGTTCTCGCCACATGCCCAGGGGCGCTCAGGACCTGGGGAAGCTGTGGCAGCCTCCTCCCCCGCTGCCACTCCCAGGTCGTGCAGACACCCACCTTGCATACAGGAGGCTGTCACTGCTTTGAAGGATGGGGGACCTTGTGCAGTGCCTGGGCCAGACTATGCTGCTCACCCTATTGCTTGGATTTTTAGAGTCTTCGTTTAAAATAACAATGGCAACAACAGAATTATTAATTTAAATCACAAAACATATTTGAAAATTACTATCTTTAAAAAGAGGCTTCTGTGTCTGTTTCTAATCAGGGTCTGTCACCTCAACCAGAAGAGGAAAGTCCCACTCAGCAGTAGCGATCATTTGGGGTTTGGGGCTGGAGGGGTTTTCTTCTAGGACGTTCATCCTGCAAACATTAGCCCATATTTCCAACTCTAAGACCAGTGTCAAACATCATTATTCTCACTTTATAGATAAGGAAGCAAAGGCGTGTGGACCCTGCCTGCTACTCTGTAGCTGCCAGACAGTGCCCTACTGGTCAGCTCAGAATTGTTTCTCTCCTAATTTTTCATGCATTTTTCTGTAACTTTTACAAGTTTTTTAATTTTCATCTTTATTTTAAAATTACTTTCTGCCTGCCCTTAGGGGAAGTTAGGGCATGGACAGTCCTCCATGCCAGGCCTGGTGGGCTGTCAGAGAACACCGCCCGTGTGCAGAGAGCCTCACCCAGCCCTGTGTGTGTGTCCCCACTGCCACATTCACACAGCTCCAAGGAGAAGCTGGGGGCCCTGGGACAGGGATAGGGTCTGCATTCCCCTCCAGCCCCACCTGAAGCAGCCCAAGGACCGTGGGAGTCTCACTTCCAGTCCGGGTGGCGCTGGCCTGTTAGTGTCCAGGCCTCAGGCCACAGCAGAGGGTGTGCCCAGTCACTGTTCCAGACATGCGCTGAGGAGGAGCCCGAGCTGCTCTGTTCTGGAAGTCGGCTGTGCTCACTCTCCCTAGTGTGGGAGCAGGCAGAGCCTGGGAGTAGTCTGGACATGAAAGGGTCTTTATGATAAGCTGTTGTTCTGGCAAACAACTTACAGTGAGCAGCCGAGGATGGGAAGCCCCCCCCACGCTGCTCAAACTCACCCAAGACAGGGCTTTTCACAGGCCTTGTTCCCAGCCCTCCACTCGCAGTGAGGTCAGTGCAGGGGGCTGTGCATCTAGGCCTTGTCCCCACGGTCACAAGCAGATCCGCCTCCTCCAGGGGCCGTGGGTCTTCCA